GATTGCATACACTTCATAGGGCTGTCAATCAAGAGGGAACTTTTACTTCCGGCCATAACGTAAAACATCCATTTCTCCGCCAATATTAGGTTTTTTTCCAATTTTGTTTTCAGAAATTAGAGATAACTCTTCGACCATTAGTTTGAACCAAAAATCCAAATTTGAAGAAAATTGCCGATCTGAAGGTATACTGTAACCTTAAAAATTAGGTCTTTTAGAGATCGAGACCTCATCAAGGATAGCGCGAATGCCTAGCTACACTGGTCGTCTCAATATTCTTCGCTCTTATCAGCGATACTATCCTATAGTATCTTTAGTGAGTTTCTCCATTAAAAGAGTGTCACTTTGTGATGGTGGGAATTTTTACAAAACGTGACTGAGTGGACTGAGGGGAGGGGATAGAATGCGAGCTCGAACTGTACGTAAAGCGCTGTCTTAAAACACGCAAAAAAAGCTGCATCACTTACCAGTTTGTAATTTCACTGGAATAATGTCTGTGGCTGCGACTTGTGACGATATCTTTAATATCACGAGGAGCCAGCTGGGTCAAAACGGGTAGCTTCCCTACCCCTCCGTACTCGGTGCTCTCTGTTCCCCATCCTCTTACGTTATTCGGTCTTCGGAAAACCCTATAAAAATCCATTGAAATATAGTCGAGAAATTATATCTTGCATTTTATATATATGGTGCGAGCCTCGAATACACCATAAAGGCCAGTTAGAAAAGAGTTTATACAACGAAACAATAAGAAATCAAATCAGGACCAATTGTGCTGTAAAGATTCAGTTTGCAACTCTGTTCGTAACAAGCCTTTCTAAGGATCGTTTCTTTTTCTAAGAGGGCCTAGCCTCTCTTGGAACGAATGTTTTCCAATATATATGGCAAAGCTTTCTTCCCTACTTTGAAGAGATAGGCCCCGACAATTAACGAAGTTGCTCTTCTTGATCTTCCGTAAGACGCAATACCTATACCTTAGATATTTGCAATTTAAAGACTCCAGTTATCAGGCTGCGCCACAATAAACACTGTTGGCCGCAGTGTCGTATGAAAAATCTATTTTCATGTATCTCATCCATTTGCCGTGATACCTTGGTCACTTAACTTTTACAACAAAAATGAAAGTTTAATAGCCAATGGTTTCTCTTGAATATGCGTTCCCCCGCCCCCCCGCCTAAAGTTAAAAAAAAAATCATCACGAGAATTCTTAATGAATTTTACATAGCGTCTACTTCACTGTCAAATATTATCCTTTATTTTCAGTTGAGAAAGAAGATAATCCGATGGAATTTTCCCTTGCTACTTAAGTTTGACGAAAACCTGAAGATTCTGAGTGTATTCGAGCAAAATGTCGGAAGAAAAACTTACAGGATTGCTGCAAGCCATTTTAACACCATGGATAGCGTGCGCGAACAGTTTTATCCGTCTTATCCGCGTGCACTGGAACGTTTCCTACATAGTCCTAGTTAGTTCAACCTACCTCACAGAAGGAAAAGTAATTCTTGTGGCTACTCCTGGTGAGAAAAGATCTGAGGACAAAACGGTCGGAGAAGCTTGTACTTCACTGTTTTCTGAATCTAACATGGCATGTTGTACAGTCTCCATACAGCCATCAATAATGCCATCTAAAACTAAAAAAAATTCAATTACGTTGACGTCATAGAGTTATTATGTTACTAGTGTTACAATTATGTAGTCTAATTCTACCTCCGTCCATAAAAAAGACGGAAATGAAATGCACTTTGCCTTTCTGTTACATGCGTTTGCGTGAAATTTGTCCATGTGTTTAATTGTATTAATGGCAAAAAACGTAAGCGATGTATACATACACTTTATTTCCACTTGAATTATCAGAGTAGATCTATTGAGCTAATATCTTCGAGAGAGAGAAATTTACAATAGACGTAATTAGATCGCTAAAATAGTAAAAGTTCATTTTCTTTATGCCTATCTTGAAATCTTTTAGTGATGTTGTTCTCATCCTGTTTGAGGCGAGGGCCAAATTTTTGCAGCGATGCCATCTTCTCGCGTGTTTGACGCCTAGGAACAACTGCATAACATAAGCTAGAAAACTGTTGCTTCCACGGAAGTTTTGAAGGTCACAATAACAGAGATTGAAGTTATTTGTTATTGGGTTGTTACTTTAGCATTATATTCCTTCCAAATGTTTGTTTTCTGCAAGGCGTTTCGCGCCACTAGTTTCCAGTTCGCTAAGACAGCTTCTGTCAGCGGATTCATTCAATTTTGTCAAACAAACATGGTTGACGATGAGAGCTTCACGATTTTGTTTGGTGGTTTATCTGCAGCTCTTGTTCCTTTTCGTTGATTTGTTCATCAATTCTTTTGGAGAGCTGTTCCGTACTGCCGATGTCGTTCTTCTCGTATTGTACATGTGAGTAAATTTATTATTACTAAGTATTTTATCTCCATGGGTGTTTACGCGGGCATTTCCGATTCGAAAAAATGTTTTCACTCTCGACTCGATGATTGCCTTTATTGTTCTTAAGTGAACTATTTATTCAGATTAGAATATTTCGATATCATTTCGAAGAGGGTAAGCGGTTCTTTTTAAGTCATTTCCTAGCTCGTATGGTGGAGCAACAAAACCACATTCGGTTGTTTAGTAACCGAGTTGGACTGCAAGAGATATCGTGGTCAACTTGCCAATGTTATCAGATTTTCCACACGTTTCTCGAATTTATAATCTTTGTCTGTAGTTCTTAGTAAATATTTCACCTCCACAGATCAGGCTGACTGAGTCATAACTTATGGCATTTTTGAATACCGCAAAAGAGTCAATATGCCCACGCTAATTTTTGTTGAGTTCATTTGCGACATATTTTTGACCTCAACGACTTCTTGCAATTGGTAAGTCGTTGAAAATCGTACTGATCGCATCGGTGTAACGTTAATATAGGTACATAAGACAAGAAATGAAGATTTTTTAAAAAACTCTGGTGAGAAAAGTATGAGAACAAGTGGAATCTCGTGCACGGGATAACATCGCAGTCGACTGAATGGCTACATTGTTTATAATTTGTCATAGCTGGGAAATTCACTGGTTCGTCTATGACTTTGCGATCATTTGTGTCTATAACTTCTTTGTAGGGTTTTACAGTTTTGAGGTGTGTTCTAATCTTAGGTGGATTAAGGTTTTAAGATTCTATCTTTATTTAGCTTTGTAGAACGTGCAAAAATGTCCTGTGTTTTGAACACTTTTGATCTATATCCTTCTCTAATTGCATTAAAACAACAAGATCGTTATACTTGTCTTCTCTTGTACTGTTTTTTTTCTACCGCTACTTCCTGATCATGCAAAATATACCTTCCCTTTTAGTTATTTTAGTGCTATTGTATGTTATTTGTGTTCGTGTAACATGCAATCTGATACTTGCACAGATACTTTTAAGTTAACTTAAGCTTTTTGAAAAACTGTATGGTAGGTATATCGGCAATATATTTGTTGAAAACTTACAGGGACATATTTTCAGAGGAGACATGGCATATAACACATATAAGATAATAACAAAAGGAATTCCAAATTCAGAGTATAATCCAACAACTTTTGGTATTATCGGTATTTTCAGTATCATTTTGACAGGGCAGGGTGCTTAGCTTAATTAATGTTTTTGGAGTTAAACTTATTTATGAGCTCTAAATCTGTACAAGTATGTATATTATTTATGGCCACACAATGTCATGTTTCGACAGTTGTTTTGCTTGAATTGCACTCAGAATCAAAAAAGAACACCGCATTAAACAATACAACTGTTTTCTTTTGCTTCAAAATGTTTTTCAAGTCCACATACCTCAGAGGATAATACTACCACATTCTAGACTATAAAGGATGGTGACAATGATTATCCAGTTTTAGGGTCTATCTCAGTCTGCAATGGGTGTTGGCATGTTGTCAGTGATATCATAGTCAATTTTACATAAGGCTTGATTACCAGCCGCCAATCCCGCCGATCAGCGAAGGAACGGAAATCAAGCCTGATTTTACATGTAATCTCAGAAAATTTGGTTTTCAATGCACCCACAGTTCTTTTATTCACTCTTGACAAAGTACTGTCACATAAATAATTATTATACTTGAGTTTACCACTAAGATTTGATAGCTTAACTGTAACAGACTGTTATGTTTGACTCTACCATTAAGTGATTAGTGTAAAAAAGGACTTGCAAACAAGGAATTAGAGCAATCATAGTGTTAAAAATAACCAAAATTCCTTAGTTGTTGTTTTACTGGTAAACTCAGTTTATTTGATTGTGGAATATTTTGAGGACAGCCATGTATTTCTTTTCCTTATTTGGAGAAACTTCAATTAACCAATTTACATGACTGTATCTTCAGTCACTGAATTAAATTCATTTCTTATGTGTTTCATGAGTACTGCAGGTGATATGAGATCTGAGTGATGCTGTATTTTTGCTTCCTGACAGAATTCAAGACCTGTGCATTATCTTTGCTATCATTGTGGTATTCTTGGTGTTTTTCAACACATACATTTTTCAAGCTGGATTGGTGTCCCTCTTAATCAGAAAGTTCAAGACAACCATAATTATCTCTGTATTGTACCTAGCATTATCTGTGGGCCTTCATGTATGGACCATGGTAAGTGCCCTTTTTTGTGTTAAACTACTGTTAGTAAGGCTTATTCATCAGCATTATGTAATATATCAAACGCAAGAGACTGTAAAATTTATTAAATAAGAAACAAGATACCAAAGCAGAGTCAATGTTTTAGCAATCAAAAGCTTTTGACACTGTCACAGCATCTTTCTCAAGTGAGTATGGTGGAAATCTGTTTGTCACGTGAGCTTGGGTAGACTACATGTATCAGTAGTCCCTCTTTTGCTTAGTCTGTTGTACGTGATGCGAAAGAAAGCCACAAGAAAAACGTGGCTGTGTGAAATCCTGGAGGCAAGGAGCGTGCAGAGGGAGGGACTACCGCCTAAGCCCAAGAGTTTGAATTATGCGTTGCTCTCACAATGCAAAAATATGATTGGCTTATGTTAGGAGCATTGACAATGTGTTGTCAACATTCAAGATACATGTGACGTCTTGCAGGAAGGTTTTGGAACCAGAGCAAATTAAAGCAGTACCAGAGCAAATCAAAGTGTTGTAACTTGGAACTCTCTTCCAACTTGTGGACTGTGTCCTCAAGGTGTTCTCCAACAGCAGAAAGTGTCGATCTAGTATTGCTAGAATGTTCCTATAATTGGATGTTAACGGGTTGGGCTGTTTCTCCAATATGCTTTTTACTGCATTTCCAAACAACATAAGAGAGGTTGAAAATAGGATGCACAGAAGACTATTTTTCATGAACTTCGAGTTGTTTGAAAATGTGGTGAAACACTGTCTCAAATGTTTGATATATCTTCTCAATCAAAACTAAAATGTAAGGAGAAAACAGAGAAATAAAATTGGAAAAATCTAATATGCTAATCATCAGATCAAGTATCCAAACACCATGATGACCATGGTTATGATTTCCTTTGTTTGATCTTGATGAATTTTTAAATGCGTTTGAGAAGATGCAATCCATACCTACAGCGTTGCATTGGGAAGCTCAATCCAAGGTAGGGCTCTTATTCCGGATGAGGTATTAATTTTCTTTTGATGCTTATTTTCATTTTGACCTGGATAGAGGACTGGACCCACATTTAAACCAGCTGGGTGCTGATGTGACTCTGTGACTAATTAAATGTTTTACTGTACAATTTTTAATTACTTGTCAATGTCTGACCTAAAAATTCAGAGCATGTTTTTGACTTTGTAATTTCTTCTTAAAGGTAAATCATTATCAATCCAAATTGAAAATAATGATATACTTGGTAGCATTAGTGCTTTAGACTGTTCACAGCCCTGTATTTTCTCATATTTCTATTTGATCGTACTTCCAGATAGAATCATAAGAGAACTGGACGCCAGCGCAAAACGGAAGACTTGACTGGGTAGGGGGTGGGGACCAAGAAAAATAGAGGGGCTGTAGACATCTTTGGAAAAAAGTGAATTCCCCGTTTCTCCAGAAACGGAAAATTCCCATTGGTTGAGAGGTGACAAAAGTGTCATCACCTTGACGATGGCTGATCATGATTGCATCCAGGTGCGTTTTGTGGCTTGCAGCAGTTGTCATCACTGACACGTGCTGTGATTTGTAATAGAGCGGTTGTTTTTAAAACAGAATCCTGTTAAGAGAAATTTCAGCGTTTGTTTGCTCAAGGGTGGACAGATAGAGGCTGCTGTTCATCTTCTTTGGTCGGAAGACTTTGTTGCAATTTTGCCGATTTTTGTGCAAATGCTGAAACAAATCAGGAGAGTTGAAAGAGCTTAGGATTCCTTCCATCGTTTTGTCAACAAAGGAGACAAAGGAGGACATGCTTCTGCTGATTGGCAAAGAGAAATACAAGCTTGTTTTCAGAAGACAGCAGAGGACTTTTGGATACAAAATTCCAAAATATGTTATAGACTGAAGGTTCTCCGCTAATAATTGTGTCACGCTCATTGTAGTTGACGAGTGCCACACCATGTAACACCTTCGGAATATATTCCACGCAGATATCCTACAAAAATAGGAAAGAGTGCTTGATTTGGGCTTTCTCCTACTTTTAGCAGCTTTTCTTGGAGTTGAAGAAATTGTCTGAGACGATATCCTCGACACACAAACACACATGTGATGTTGTTTGCAAACTGATACTTGTGATCAATTAAACAAGCAATTTACCGCTCAAATTTAATTGGTCCGATTTCGTTAATTGATCAAAGGGTGGAGCTGTTAGTAACAAGGCGATAACAGGGGGAGGAGCCTAATAAGTCCACCTTTTACCAAAGATGTCTACAGCCTCTCTATTCTTCTTGCTCGCTTTGCTATTCTTCTTCCCCACCCCGCCGTGCTTTGCGCTGGCTTCGCTCGCTTTTTCTTTGGTGTGCATAAATAGAGAGGCTGTGAACAGTCTATTAGTGCTTAATCAAAGTGGGGTACTATCAGTGGTATGTGGAAGCAAAGTCTATCTAAAAAACATTACAAACCTTTGAATAATTCTTTGAAAATTTCTTCTTTCAGTCGCTTCAACTTCACGTTTGAAATATATAAATTCTAGATTACTGTTTGTCAGACTTAGAACTGTAAATAATGTTAGCTCTGAGGAGTTAACAGTGGAGTAATTCTGTATCAATGCTTGGGAAACATACAGAGCATTACATGTAAAAATTACTCTCATTCACTTAGATCTTTTGTTTGTCTTGCTTATTTAGACTTTAAAATGGGGTGATCCTCGAAGGTTTGTTTGGAATGAAGCTTTCCAAGCACTCTTTGTTTTTCAACGAGTTGGTGAGTTCTATGCACTATTTTCTATTACAGTGGAATCCTGATTTCTCAAACCCTCAATTTTTTGAACCTCCCAATAACTCTAACCAAAAGTCGTTCCCTCCCCTCAGTCGATCACTGTAATTTTACTCCTGATTTCTCAAACTCCAATTTTCTTGAACCAATTTTAGTTTCCCTTGGAGGTTTGAAAGATCAGGATTCCACTGTATTTTATAAATTAAATTTTCTCAAGTTGTTGTTCACAACTGTAACTTTTTTATAGGATGGTTTTAGTCCCTATGGTAAGTAACTTGGTGCAGCTAAATTTTTACATGCATTAATGCGCATGCTTCTGAACATCCAGTGCTGCTGGATGTTCAGAAGCATGCGCCATATAAAATTATATGATTATAATAATAATTATTATTATTGTTGTTGTTGTTATTGTTATTGTTATTGTTATTGTTATTGTCATTGTTATTGTTATTGTTATTGTTATTGTTATTATTATGTTGTCACCTTAAGTTATGGATCAATCATGCCCAAAGAAATTTTAAGATAACTGTCAGAGTTTCCTTGATTAAGCACTCATCAGAATTAAATCACCTACCTAACTTAAAGGAGCTCAGTCACGGTTTGCGCATATTGAAAAGTTTAGCCTCAATTTTTCAAATTTGTCATTTGTAATCNAGCTCGATCTTATATTTATAAATGTCCTCCAAGGAGACTAAACAAAAACAAGTTTTCAATGTTAATATACGTATATAATTAGGGTTGTCCCAAAGAATTTATCATTTTGAAAGAGGAAATGAGATTAGAAGAATTTTTTTCATTAGAAACAACTGCTTTGAACTGCTGCATATCATGGTGTCTTGGATTTCTTGGTACAATATCTCTCGATCATTATAGTAATGAGTTTCAAGCGGTTCAACCAAGAAAGGGAAGGTGAATTATTTTTGTCCATAACGATTCTGTGTGGCGTAGAATTCTAACCTTTGAGAGGGCATCAGCTCGTGCTCATACTTCTGAATCTCTTCTTCGCTCTCTTCTGTGACGTCATCTAGAATAGGGGTAGGAGTCCGGCTCGTCCTTCTCGTTGGCGCCTTTCTATTCGATGACAGTTGAGCGTCGGTTTCTGCGCTTTCTGGTTCGCTAAGCGCTGCACCTGGTGCCCAGTCCTCAATGACAATGATCGGCGGCTGTCCAGTATCGTCAAGAATCGCCTCCGGAGAATGCGAATTTTTCTTCCGCTGTGCTTGTCGAACAGTGGACATCCATTTACTGGCAACTAAAGAAATGTTCCATGGATTTAAAACTAGGCTTTTAGTAGCAGAGGAAGATTCTTCATCGGATGAGCTTTGTTTATAGTTTGGTGGATTATCTAGAATGTCAAATAGACTTCTCTCAAATCTGCGAAAACTTTTGGGAGAAAACCGCCGACCAGGAATTCCGGTGTTGATAATTTCTTTAATGACAACATTAGGCTTTTGAGCAACGTTTCTCTCCATAGCAACAGAAGGAAGAAAGCTTAGGCTGTTCGTTCTGTTTTTGACCTTTATCGTTGCTTCTTTAGTATTCTCTGCAGTAGGGGAGACTTTGAAAGCGGCCTTTAATTTCTTCTTTGTTGTCTCCCTGCTTGATAGTTTCTTTTTGTAATTATCCCTCCCTGGGTCACCAATTTTATTCTGGCTTTTGATGTTAGTTCGAGGTGAAGCTTCATTGCTACGACCAAATACAGACACTCTACCATTTGAACCGCGTTTTGAACCATCCTTTGCTTCCTGACTTCTGACACTCTTTGGTCGATGACCAACTGTTGGAGACTTCCATTTCCCATGAAGTTTTCGGCGCTGATAACCTCTTGCTGGCGCACTGCTTGGTTTCGTAGGAAAAGGAAAACTGAAATTGTTGTCGGCGTCATTTTTAGAGTTTTTTCTCAACAATAAAACTGCTTTAACTACCGCAGCCGCGCTGCAGTTTAGGATGGCGGATGACCGTCGTCTTGAGCGAGGAGGCACGAACAGCTTCTCGGCTTCCCTTGGTTTACCGGGTATTTCATCGTCATGATTTGGGTTTTTCAATAAAACCCTAGAAAGAAAGATAACCCTGTTACCAAAACACCTAAGGTTGTCATAATAGTTGCTTTTTAGATGTTTATAAAAGGCCAAAAGTTACTAAAATTTTAAAATCCATAACGTAGGTCAGTGGTACATGATGGAAATTTCCATCAATTTCCATCATGTAACAATGCTGATGACCGTACGGTCGAAGACGTTTTGGATTTTAAAATTATGTTTAGTAACTAAAGAATCTAGTTATTGTCATGCGCATTCCAATCAAGATGATGAATTCTTTGTAAAGAACTTGAAGCCTGATTCTTAACCAATGTCCCGGAATAAGCCCACTTCATCCTGCTTCCGTATCCAATAAGAATCAGTAGGTGATGCGTCTTACTCGGAATTAATTGAACTTTCTGCGTTCAAGCGCTAGCGCTAGTCGACATCATTGTGTTTCGTAATTCATTGCCAAGCTATTTTACTATTAAAATGCCTTTCTCCACCCATTAAAGTAAATGAGCATCGATGTAGCACAACATTGTTAAGGTCAAACAAGAACGCCACCTTTTAGCATCTCCATAATCTACAGCCCTTGAAAGTGTAGGAGTCATTTCGCTCTTGTCAACTGACGCGTCACATTTTCCCGTCATCTCTAAAAGACCAGTGATCGTGCACCGCTTAAAGCTCTGCCAGATATCACTGTCCCGGATGTAATGCTTGATGTCATCGTCATTGAAGAAATAGCGACGGTTTTGACGCAGGATTTGAATAACGCTTTCGTTCGTTTTTAACGCCCATCTGGAAAATTATAACACACGAAAACGATGGTTAGGAACCACCAGAAATAGGGGGTTTAAGATTAAAGGAGTTCTACCATTAACACGACCTAGAAAAGTCAAACGCTCTGCAAAATATTTAATATAATGTTGTAGTCCTATTAGAAAAAACTACTGAAAGGAGTGATATGACAGGGTTTGGTAATGTTAAACTGTCACTGGGCGCTAGTTTCTGCAAGTTTTGTAATCAGGAGGTCCCGGGCTCAAATCCTCCTCCCTGTCACAAGATGGAGCTACGTTTGGTGGTCCCAAATTCAACTTCTCTACTTCTTGTAAATAGCCAACTGGTCAGCCTCCAACCAGGTTGGGATTTTTAAGTTCTATTTACGATATTTTTTTCTTAATATATAAAGTCCCAATAGGCGGTTTGCGTTGTGACGTCATTTTATTACAACAATCAGAATCATTCACTTTTTCTTACGTACCTACTGAGAAAGTACACAACTTATTTAAACTAATTAACAAAACTGGATACTTACTTGTTGACCAGGAAGCAGGTTACAGGACCAATACTTGCTACACTGCAAAAACATGGACTGGAATCGAGAAGGGTTGATTCACCGAAAAATTCCCCTGGAAAGTTAAATGAAAGGGATGGATATTAGCTCCTCTGGAGGGAAACATTATGGAAAATGGTGGGATTATTTTACCCTTCTCAATTTGTCCAAGTTTAACGAGTTCTTCCCTGTTGACTTCATCAATAAAGATACTTCGGTAATATTGGCATCTTCCTATTGAATGACAAATGCAAGTAAAAATGTTTAATTTACGGAATATTTGCATCTACAAGTTCTTTAGTGCTGAAGAAATTCAGTATCAGGACCAGTATTTCTATATTTAGTGATATTATGGAACGTAAATTAGCCGAATTGAAGGTTTCTGTTCATGCATGTTCGCTACATAAAGAGGTTATTACCACCAACTACAGATTTCGCAGGAGCACTTCTTATCGCCTTGTGAGTGTACGGTTTTCTAGGTGTTAACCGCCATCATCGGAATTCAGTCACAATAGATTGCAAGCTACTATAGCTTTAGTTCGGTTGTTTCAAGTTTGTAAGTGATGTATCGTTCTTTTAAATTTGCAGTGAATCGCTCAGACATTCAGATGCTCAGATGTTTGTATATAAAAAAAAGTGTATTAATTTCGAGGAATGTATAGTTATTGGCCTAGCCCAGAGTAGTTGGCCACTGCAGGAATCATTTAACAAATGGTAAACCCAATAGCGTGCACTATTGAGTTATGGATGCACTTGGGAGGTTTGCTAAGCACTCAAGAAGCTAGAGTCGCACGAGGCGATAGCCGAGTGCGACTCGTACGCTTCTTTCGTGCTTAGCAGCCTCCCGCGTGCATCCATAACTCAATGGTACACGCTATGGCGTTTACCATTTGTTAATTTTAACAAGGCGGGAAACCTAATCACGGCTGGTCATACGGGAACTCAGTACTCAGACCTTGATCAAAGCAACCTCGTTCCCAGGCTCTCTCTTCTCTGCCTCCGGAGAGAGAGCCTGGGAACGAGGTTGTCATCAAAGTAGCTACGGATCCATGAGACGATAGGCGATTGGATCCACAGACTACTTTTACATGTTATGACGAAATTCATTATCAGTAACAGGACAGACGTATTGAAAACTGAAGTCAATTTGTTTTTAACAATAACAAAAAGGCAGAAGGGACAAAATTGGGTCAAAACGCGAGACATTTATGTGTCTGCCCGCTTATTGACAATGAAAATTAGCCAATGAGCGCGCGAGAATGTGTACAGTTATTGTAGAAAAGTGTTTTGAGTTTGTACCTGTTATATCAGTTGATTGAAATCTCTCTTTTTGTCCTCCAGGTCGTTTTTATGATGGCCGATGTGTGGTTATCTTATTGGTAAGAAAATTTTCAGTTTTTTAAATTTTAATTAGTATAAGAATAGTATTTTTTTCTTTGAGGCCACTTTTTATGTCATGTTTGGTGGTGAATAGACTTGCCACAAGTCGACCTTTTCTTATTTCTTGACTTATTTACCTCCCTCGAGCGAAGCGAGGGGGTAATTTTCGAGCGACGAAGTCGCGAGCGCAAGCAACCTAAGTCGCGAACGGCCAAACCAACAGGCCAGGGAAGAAATATTGGAAACGACTTTTAGAAAGTCTAGGTGGTGAATGAACGCGAATTTCTGGGACCTGAGACTTTCCCGACCCAGATAGCGCCAATGGCACTTCCATGTACATTGCCATCCCTCCCGCTCCGTCAATGATAAACAGTGTCAGTTGCAGACCTATTTTCTAGGAGAGTTTTGCAGTAACATGTACTAAAGCTAGAAAAATGTTGAGGAGAAAACATCGTATTTAAATTATTTTAAAAAAACAATCAAAATGCAAATGAGGACTTTGAGATTGTTTCGCTCAATATTTCAACATTACATGTGACATCCGTGACTTTATATTGCTCCTTTAAAATATAAAACATGGGAAAGCCTACGTAATAATAACGTTTAAGGTTGCTCATGAGGTGTATTTACCGTGCAAGGGATGCTTGAAAGACAGATTCTTTTGTGTCCTTATTCTTGCAGGTGTAATGAGGAGGAAGAGTATTTACTTGCAACACTTGATACAAATAATAGCACCAGCTCCAGTGAAGTGCAAGAACTGGACCGTGATCTTTATCTTGGCGTTTACGCTGTCTTTGTGATTTGCCTGCTGTTGTTTACATTGCTAAGGACGCAGCTTTTCTTTAAACTGACCATTGTAGCCTCAAGGAAGCTTCACCTGAGGATGTTTAGTGCTCTCTTGCGGGCGCCATCTTATTTTTTCGACACTAACTCCATAGGTAAGGACAGATTCAGTTATGGCTTGGTGCTTAGTTTAATGATAAGCAAGTTATTTATTTTTTGTGAGATATCTGTAAAGTGGCTGTAGCTGGTACAGTTTCTTAAACTAAAACATATAGTTAAAGGAGCTACGTCACGGTTTGCGCGTATTGAATAGTTTAACCTTAATTTTTCAAATTCGTCGTTTGTAATCCGTGTTTATCTTCTCCATCCTTAGCCATCCTTGTTCCCTTATGGTTTATCATTATCTCTTTGGTGTTTTTCTATCTTATTAAACTGTTATTTTCAGGTTTCCTACCATTTAAAGGTAATTTTGTATGTGGCCAAAATAACTCAAAATACCGTGACTGAGCTCCTTTAAAATATTTTTAAGCATCTGGCCCTTAGCGTCCTGAAATTTTTAAAAAAGAACAAAATATACTCATACCTGAAAAACAAGGAAGTGTAAAATTTGTGTGTTAACACCCCAAGAAAAACAATTGCAGTCGCATTAGTCTTTAACTGCTGCTCACTTATTTTAGGAGCTGTTTTGTATTACTACTTCTACAAAAGAACAGCTCTACGGCTGGGAGACCCAAGATTTTACAAAGACTCACAATGGTTACGAGAAGAATTTGCAAGGACTCATTAATAATTATCCACTGTTTAAACCGTTGAAATATTTAATATACTCCCTCTAACCAAGAGAGGATAATGTTAGACGCTTGCAGAAAGAATTCATTGTAAATGTAAGAATTTCATCAGTTGCTGTAAAGTAGAATGTAATATCTGCAACTGTGTTATCAAGATGTTACAGCAACAATGTTATTACAGTGCTGTGTGGAAATAGGCATGACTGATTATTTCCTGGCTGGACAAGTTTTAGTCTTAATATCAGGAGGAAAGTGTGAAGAGGAAAGCGTGAAGAGTAAATGCATTGGCTATAGGAATGCATGAAGGTTAAGATATGAATGGAATTATGGATTATTTCAATAGCCCCACTGTTATGTTTTACAACTCTGCAGCTCAAATTGATTCAATGCTGGATCAGAGAATTCCATTATGAAATTTCAATGACACGTATTTTAAAACAATTGCTTTTTCCGTTCTCTCTCTCTTTCTCTGAATTGCTGTTTATACCTCAACTTTGCACCTGAAAGCCATTTGAAATCATATAATGCCTTGTTTTGTTAGTTAGTCAATCAGAATGTGAGTTTGCCTTAAATTACAATTTGAGAAATAAGACACTTAAATTTTACAACCATGTTTCTGCAGACATCATCTTCAGTGTGACTGAAATTACCATCTCTTTGAATTTATATATTAGTACATTCATATACAAAAATAGGTTACCACGGATGCCTAATAATGAATTGCATTCAGAAAGATTAAAGAGTGATGAAAGCAAACTGATGTTAACTGGCCAGACGTTGAAACTACTTACAAGGAAATTTAATTTTTTTTTCAATAGCAAGTTTTAGGGGATTTGAACAATAGATATTTAATAATATTATTAATCATTCCCTGTAACCACACAGTAATTTATAGTGTGTAAACGCAGTCAACTACATCTTGATGTTGGATTTGGGGCTATTCAGAACATGTAAAGTACATTGATGTTAGCCTTGGACTAAGTTATTTAAGCAAATCCCACATAGTGTGAATACGTTCGTACGAAAATGTAGCTGGATCCATTTAACCATTGTTTATTTGACCGGCAGCAATGTTTTCCAATATGTGGATTATGAGCTGTGCTATGTAAAGGTTTAAGCTGAATTCAAAGTGAAGTATTAGCAAAATATAAAGTTATTCTCTCCTTCCAAATTAAGGAACAGTTGTTTCATATCAATATTAATTATAATACTATAGCATTGTGATTTTTAAAAGTCAAACCATGGATATCTGTTCTGACTGCTGTATATAGACTACAAAATTTCTCTTCCATAAAAAATTTAAATGTTAGGTTTCTTTTATTAAAATGTTTGATGTAAAATACCCAAGTGGTATGTATGTGGCATGGTATTCTCTATACATAAACAATAGCCTCCATTTGGCGCGAAAATATGCTAAGATATTTGTCCGCGGACATGATCTGTTCCGAGAAGCGAACAGTTTTCCGAGGGCGTAGCTCGAGGGAAACCGCGAGCTTGAGCTTCGAGGAACAGATTATGTCCAAGGACAAATATCCTAGCATATTTTCGCAACACGCGCAGTTTTGAAAATTGGGGAATATTCTCGGATATTCCCCAGTTTTAGCTGGGGAATATTCGGTCACGTGACGCGTTTAGAGCAATCGCGCGCGAGCGAAATATTTGATGGATTATAAGAGATGATAGATAACCAACGAGGCGCATAGCGCCGACTTGGCTATTATCATCTGTTATTATATGGCTAGCTCCGTGAGCGGGCAAGATGAATCAAATCCTGCGCTGTGATTGGCTACCCGAGCGGGCAAGATGGAGCTATCTTCCCCGCTCGGGACTACCTGCCATGCCCCGTAAGAAAAATTGCCCCGGAAACCATGTAATAAATCCTTTATTGACCGAGCTTGTTCGGTCAAGATGGCTGGATATTGGCCTCGTTCTTTTTTTTGCGAGTTTAAGGACCTCGACTCCGTCTCGGTCCATGAACACGCAGAAAAAAACTTGACCGATATCCAGCCATCTTGACCTCACACTTGGTCAATAACCCATATATATCCAACAAGCGCGAGTGGAATGATTGTTCTATTAAAAACGCCCCCAAAATATAGAAAACTAAACTAAACTAAAAATAAAAACGACCCACAAAATTACGCGTACCCTTATAACATATTTGTGAGTATGGTACTTTTGCTCATATACCATGATGGCTGCGCGAATGAAAACCTCTTGAATTACATTATCCAATGATCCAGCTTTTAGCAATGACGGTCACACACACACATTTATAAGACCAGGTCAGAGTCCTGGCCATCGCTAATAGAGCCATTAGAGGGGAATGGTTATGAAGCCCAACAAAGTTCTTTGTTGTATGTTTTTGTTCGCTTTTTTGGCCTTGGCAGTGCACAGAACACAATAGTTGTTTACTTCAAACTAAGGAACCAACCAATAGAAACCTTTAGTTCCACAATTCATGAATAGCCTATGGGCGCAAAACAAACAATTGTTCACGGTCGTGTTCTTTCCAACATAAATCTTGTCGTCTTTGTTCCGTCCTTTGAATTTTTCCGGGCGTAATAACCAGTCACCTTTATTAATTATACCAAAACTAACCACTATCATAATCATATCGCGTGGCGGATACAATAAAAGAGGGAGGGGTGGGTCCGGAGTGAAGTTGAACACAAAAAAAGGGGCGGGGGGTCATCGTCAATGACTTGAAAAAAATTTAATGCTTCCTATGTCTGCACCCTATAAAGTTTCGATAAAAAGTACAACTGTAAGCGGCTTTGCTCCGGTACATGGAGTGCTCAATGCATGGAGTACACAATGCAAGTAAACCCGTGAGTAGCTAAGTGTTTATCAATGAGCTCAATAGAAAGAATCGAATTGTTTCTCTGAGTTTTCAAATTCGAATTCAACCGATGGACACCCAACATGATGAGGTCGCAAAATAAAGTGGGTGATAAGGCCCTGCTTGTGTTGCTTACCTATCATTCCCTTTGATCAAAGATCTGCAAACCACAAACATGATTTGTTTCCTTGTCTATCGCAACAGGATGTCGGCGAAAGCAAAGCCCTATAAAGCCTGGTATATTCCGTGTCCCAGAACTGGTATTTCCCGATGACAAAACTGCTAGTGAAGTGAAATCAAATTTGAAGAATGAGAACACACGCCCGGGGCACACGTAGACCCTTTTACGCAATCACTTGCACAGCACTTATCGACTCCATATCCTGTCCACACTAGCTTGACGAGATACGTTTAAATAAGTTTAAAAATTGACAATCAGAGACAAAAGTAAACGCTTGCGTTTTCGATGGGATTTTAACTAAACTCGTATTGTGTCTTAGGAGTTCGGGCTAGTTACTTCACTATACTATTTGCCTACATGGTATTTCTGACCAAAGTACTAACACAAGTGCGTTTGCGCAGAACACTGATTGTCAAATATCTTTTGTTCATAAACGGTTTTTACACGTGTCTTCAAAAAAGCGCAACAGTAACACGTGACTTTGTTCCATTAAGGGCGTGTATTTTTATCGACAACGTGGCGCAAATTTGAAAAAGCTATTCCCAGCGCTCGTGTTAGTAACGAGTCAGCGCTACCTTAGCTGGGGAATGAAGGAAATACGGACGATAAAGCTTTAAGAAGGGACAACTGTCTTTACTTGTTAGTTTACACGTTCTTTGAGTCATAAAAAAGATACGCCTTCTTACGTAATCGGCAACAGTAGCTTTGCTCACACAGATAACAATAACATCACACATTGACCTATTTTACATGTAATAAACTGAAGGAAAGCATTGCCCACTCTCAGTGTTAGAGAGAAATTCTTGTTATCGAGTTCGCCTGTTTGAAATCGTACGCAAAATTATCAAAAAGGGCGTGGCAGGTTTGACACTTGCAACCTTACTGACGGCTCTAAGTAATCGTAGTTACTCAACTGGTGGTTAAATGCACTCGATTTTGGCCAAAAAATGAACGAAGACAGATAACATATCGTAATACGGCAAGAATACAGGCAATTAACAACACTTAACTACTCTAAATGTTTGTTTTACTTTTTTCATCCAATGAATCAGGGTGTTATTTCTGGCAGTGTAATGAAAGGAAGTCATTGAAGAAGTCATTTTAGCCTTAAAAGCCGTCATAAACTATCTTTTTATTGTTAGAAGATAAAACTTTGCAATGGAAAAGCTACATGCAATCGATCACTCTCCATTACTCACGCCATAAGTACGTAGAAAGCAGGTGATGAAAGCAATGAAGATCGAAAATTCGCTACTCAGAAAATAATATTTTGCTGTGGAAAACAGATTGCTGTGTAGTCAATCGGCAGAAGGTTTGAAGGATTTTAAATCAAATTAGGTGAGTGCTATGTCTACTTCTACATTAAAATCGCCATCATAACTTGATTCTGAGCCGGAAAGAGCCAATTTATCTTAGAGAAGCTTTTTTCAAGTATTTCTGTAGCCAGTACGTTCTATAAACCACAAAAATTCTTCTTTCAGTACGAATGTCGCTTCACCATGGTTTCCACTTTTACCTGGCACCAGAAAACTTTGCATTCACCTTGCCTTGCTTTCGTAATATCGCGCTTTTATTAGCAAAATAAGTGAAACGGGAATGAAATATTTTTGCAGATTGCAAATCAGAGGATTTATTAAAACGATCAAGCCGTCAAATTCACTTGCAGTTTCGCCACAAAAATTGAGACTTAGACTGACGTTTGAAACAATCTTCGCCTACAAATGAATATTGAACAACTATCCTTTGAGTTCATATAAGACCATTTGAACAAGGAAGAATAATGTTACCATTTTTGGAGAGGAAGAGAGTTCAATTTCCCGGTCTGCGAAAGTTCAGGCTAACTATGATGGCCCAAAGGAAAGATTAAAAATCAAGTGCTCATGAAAATTTCATATCATCCTTGTCAAATTTTCAAAGTTCTCAACCAGTTTTACGCCCATGGAAATGGTGTCTTGTCTTTTAAGGTGATTCCTCACATTTGCATTGCGCATTCTTACTGCGCATAATTTATGGCGTCATTAGCGCGCGCTCGTGCACGCGCAAATTGAAAAGATGGCGGATTTGCCTTGATATTGAGTTCTGTCAGTTGAAAAATGGCTATAGCTCACTAACGAGCTCGGGCACCCCAATTTTTTTCCTAGTCGTTTTAATCAACTAATCATTAGCTTTTCGTGAGAAAAGACTGATCTGATTCCTATTGCTGAAAATTGAAGAAATAAGGAAAATAGCAGCTGCACTGTAGTCTTCTCTATTTACATTTTGATAGCCGTGGCAAGCAATTTGGTTCCAATATTTTATCAAGGATTCAGCTGTCTGTCAAAATCAAACTTAAAGAGTTTATTTGTGTTCGACACAAGTATTGACTGTAGTTTGAGGCGTGTTTTCGTGAGTCTGGGCTCACAAAGATTTTACTGAATAACTTGGAATGCGTTCTTGTAATAAGCATTAAATAATGCTACAATGGGACATTTTCAATGCCTTACTGGTTCTTAACGAGCATGGGCATCCCCCCCTTTTTATTTTATAATTAAAGTTCTCATATGATAAATATTCAGTGGACAAAGTTTGAACAAAAATCTATTGACAGTTTTATTTCAGGGGAATTACCTTAAGTTGTTCTTTGAATCTATAACTAATCATCTTTATCTATCCTAGTTGCTTGAGTTTGCAGTACCGTTTGTCCGTTGCGATATATTTTTATTTTGTTATCCTCACTTATAAAGTCGCCTTTTTCTTCTTTAGAAAATACATCGTACAGTTGTATCATTACAATCGTCCGTTTAAATTTCCTACTAAAGTAGGACTGATTGTCCAGACAGCCTTAAAAAATTAAAACATTCACAGCCAAAGGAAAAAAAAATGCAGTCAAGTGTTTTATTTACACTGATAATTTATTCTCATATGTAAATTCTGAACTTAAATCGCTGACCGTCGAACAAATGGAAGGTGCAAGAATACGGAAATAAAAGAAGATCTGACATTACATGGAAGTCGGGACTTTTCCATTGCATGCTTTTTTAACTTCACTTAACAAAAAAAGACCACAATATAGATGAATCGTAAACGAATCAGACTCTGATGTCGGTGAGAATGAAATCATTTGACTGACAACATGTTAGAAAAAATGCTCAGTGGCAATTTAAATAAATATTCACAGCAAAATCAGGAATCATTTTCACATAGTGTAATTTGTAGTGTGATGTTCCCGACGGGATGACCGTGATGACGACAAGGCCAAGGGAAATTATTGAATTAAATAGTTGCGCAAAAATAACAGAAATTTGTTGGATTTTTTTTTTATCATTTTCTAACTAGTCGGAACGGGTTTCTGATATCCAGCAACCTCTTCAGAAATGAATACTTTGCGTTCCTTCAGATTTGATTTCGATTTTTTCCTTTAAGTTTGTATCATGGCATTGTCATTGGTGATTAATTGCTGTACAATTACGACACAAGCAAGATATAGCTTCAATTAATGTTGCAGGGGAAAGTTATCCACAAGACAAATAGGTGTGACAAACACTTAAACAAAACAACTTTAAAGAGATCGTTGTAAGTCGGCTGTCATCTTAGTTTGAGAGATGAGAAGGGAAACAATTTCGGTTTCCTTCCTGCCGGTGACGTTTCCTGGGGTAATATCGATGGCATTCTGGCTTAACGACCGCAAGCAGAATTTGTTTTCGCTTTTTTTTTGTAGAAGCCTTATTTTTAGCATAATTTGACATTTGGCAATATCAAGAAAGATTGGGGCAATCAAGTGATTTTCCACAGCACTCTGATCGAGAACCTCTTATTGTTGCCTATAAGGAATGCTCTTTTTTGGTTAACAATTGATAACATCCACTCACACATTTTAAACAGTAGTAATTTACACACCTGTATTACACCATAACGTTTGTTCATGCATTGTGCAAACAGAAAAATCGTCGACAACATAACTGACATTACGTCACTGAAGATGGAGGAACTCGGCGCAAACCAAAACGACAACGTCACTGCAAGCAGTAGCATGACACAGTTCTCTGCTACCAGGATCATCCAAATCATGCTGTATTTTATTCTATCTTTCGTTGGAATAGCAGCTAACAGCATGATTTTTCACACGCTGCTGAGCCGTAACAATCCGAGGGTCGGTGAATACCTCATTCTCAACTTGGCACTCACGGACCTGGCCACGTGCGCTGTGAGTGTTCCATTTGACTTGGCGGAACGTCTTGCAGGGGGATTTCCATTTGGGTCAATCATGTGTTACGTTGTGTATCCCTTACAGACAGTCCTCATGGCCGTATCGGTCATCACGCTGCTCTCCATGAGTTTGGAACGCCGCCGTGTTGTAATGGAACCGTTTGCACGCCCAAGAGTTCTTCCAAAGACGACCAAGATCGCCATCTTGGTCTCGTGGATCGCCCCTATCCTGGTCATCATCCCGTACGCACTTGTACTGAGACTTGATGGGAAAAATTGCCTGGAAAAATGGTCGGAGTCTTGGCACGTCAAAGTTTTCACTCTTACCAATTTTACCGTGTTCTTCGTCATACCGATTGCGGTGATCACCACGTCTTATATCATGGCTGGCAGAAAAGTGCGAAAGGAGCTTCAAAACCTCGACGACATGTTAGAGGGAAAAGACAGATCGCACAGGGAATACCTCAAGAAGCGCACAGTGCAAAAGCTTAGAATTACCAAGGTTTTTATCACGGCTGTCGCGGCTTTTATTGTTTGCATGCTACCGACGCACTTAGTTTGGATCTGGCACGATTTTGCCCAAGGAGATGAGAAAGCGTACTTCAAAGACATCGTGATCTTCAGTAACATTTTAATGTATTTAAACAGTGCATTGAATCCGTTCATCTTCAGGAGTGTGAGAGGGAAATCTTTCACTCGGTTGATAGCATGCTGTTGTAAGAAGTTTACCAAGAACTCCGCCTCTACCGCGGGATTATTATTTCTTCCTCAAGTTGAGCGAGAGAGGGCTATCAGGGTCACCAAGTCTTTCTCCTGAACCTCTGATGTCACATTTCCGACAGCTGACGTCTGTTACGAAACGAGCGTCTAAATAAAATAAATAAATAAATAAATATATAAATAAATAAATAAATAAATAAATAAATAACTTTATTGTTTAAGAGATATTATTATTGTACATGTGCCTTTTATGAACTGCAACCCGTAACAAAAACTCTCAGGTGTATCGTAATTTTACAAAACGTGGCCTGAATTAATCTAGCTTGGGGCAGGCTCACCTTTGAGTCACACGCGCGAGTCCGCGAGCAAAGAAATCCAACGAGGAGGGATCTGGTGAAGAAGTTTATTGAATTAATCTAGATCATTCTAAACTTCATGTTAACGCAGCTCCTAATTTCTGTTAAAATAATTAATTAGATATATTTACTTTTTCATTTCGCACATTGTTGTATTTAAAATAACGAGAGTGACGCTTTCAGTTTTGGACCTAAACTACTGAGGTAGAAAGCGACATTCTTTGTGTATCCGGGCAGTCTTAAGGTTCTCCATTCAAAAGCACTAAGTGGAGCCAAAAGATTATGATCCTGCTGGAGCATGATAGTACACATGCCCTTAACAAATACAGAGGTGACCCGGCTAATCGAAGTGAAAACACGCAAATTTGTGAGAACCACTGTCCCCCCACCCAAAAACCGTATTCGATCGTGTCAGTGAAGAAGATCTAATCAGCTGTGACTGATAATGAATGAACCAAGGAAAAACGCAAGGCTGATCAAACGGTTTACGAACCATATTACATTAGTTCCATTACTTCAAAAGGTATGGNATGGTTGCAATTCACATAATGTGTAGGAAACACCTGATGCAAGAAACCCCCTCCATTGTGTGCCGTGTTCACAACTACGTTAACTCATAGTCCTATATCATTTTTTAAAGTTATTTTTTGTTACACATTCCCCTCCCTCAGAGCCCACCAGCCTCCCATCCTACCACAAGTCCACCATCATCAACAAAAAAAGAAACCTGCAATGCAGGCTATACTGCAAGCGATTATCAGTCAACACAAAACTCTTCCATGCCAATTACCCTTTACACAAGCTAGACAAGCTCGGCCCAGTAGTATTCCTAGGGTGGAAGCCTTTAGAGGAAAAGTTAGTGTGGTCGTTGTAACACTATTTCGGGGGTTAAGATTTAAACCTCTCACGCTAGTGTTATCGGAATGCTATTTTTTGGGTAAAAGAAAAAACGAACATTGTATGTGTTACTCGACGCAATCCTCTAGAGGTATGTCAACAGAATGAGAGAAATCGAAAAAAACTCCGTTAATTGTTTGCTTTATACTTGACATGAAGAGTAATGAGAAAAGGCATAAAAAAGCGAACGGAATGAATGAAGGTGTTGTTTTATTTAAATGTGTCTCAAGAAGGGCAGGAACATAACAGCGCGAAAGATGGAACTATGTCAAATAAATAAAGAAATAAGTTCACTTGCAATCTGCAAATTTTCGTATAACTTCTCATAAAGAAAAGACTCGCTTGCTTACTTCACTCCTATCCATTTGATTACCAATACGCCTAAAAAACCTGAGTTTCTTCTTAAGGAAGGTGCCTGCTCAATACAAACGTCTTTTCCCCAAATTTGCACCACATGGAAAAGTAGAATTTAGCAAGGGCTATTGGAATCCAGAAAGAAAAAGTTGGACAGCCACGCATTTTCCCGACATAATTAGCCTAGAATATCGAATAAAATGCTCATGTCGACATTTTTCTAAAAACAAGAAAAAATGTTTCTTCACAGTTTTTCCTAGAACTCCCCATTGGATACAAAAAACCAAACGCATTTATAAAAGTCTTTAAGCTAAATGGTGATGGTAACATTTAAAAAGAAAAAAAACAAACAAAACAAACAAAACAAAAAAACACTTTTGGTACGTTTCTAATGACCAAATCGTCGCAGCAGTACTTTTGTCGTCCCTGACAGCTCTCCACTGGTTTAGCCAAAATACAGTCTAAATAGCTTTTCCTTACAACTGGAGACTAATCACGTGTTGAATAGGCTTGCCACTTCCATTTCATAAAAAATGTAGTTGTAACCACGCGTTTTTTAAAGTTTCACGAGTTCTTTCAATCTTTTTTGAAAACTATTATGGTGCCCATTTTTTTTTCTGTCACCTCCCCGGTAAGTCAAACATTTGCGATAGACTAGCGTCCCATCAAGGGGAGAGTAGAAATTTTGCTAGTCGCTTCATGCTACAGAAACCGGGATAAGCTCCGGCCTGATGAGCCACTTGGCTCGTATGCAGACTTTACCTTTTCTTGCCTTGCTAGTGTCACCTGTCTCGAGCTCGAAAATGAGCTCTGATTAAGGCGAGAATTACTATTGTCATACCTTAATGTTTTCCATTGCTCCCTCTGGTGTAATTCAGATGGCAATTGTCACTAATTTTTTTTTTTTTTCATAAATCTATATTTTATCAAGCCGCGAAACTACAACAGAATGAAATCGATTGATAGATTAATACAACCGTTAATTTTTTTGGTGCAAAACTAAGTGATTCGCTTAGGTTTTTGCAATTGTTCAGCTATTGAATCAAATGCAGTGCGAAATTGGTCTGCTCTCTGATCAATGCCTGAGTAAAAAGCAATAAAAAGCCCAGCCCAAGGAAAAGACTCAGCAAAAGAAATAATTGCCATCCTGATCAACGATTTCAAATTACACTTACAAAACAAAATTTAGCTGGTGCCTGATGCCAGGTCCTGTTTAAAATTGTCGACGGTTTTCTCTATTTATATTGTGTACTTTTCTATAGGAGAGTTCCTCCTCTCCACTCCTTACCTACCCCACCAGCACGGGAGTGAAGTAATAAAACACAGGTGTCATTCAGTTGTTTTTTTAAGGTCATTCCGCAGTATTGCATTGCGCATCCTTACCGAGCATAATTTATGGCGTCATTAGCGCGCGTTCGTGCATGCGCACATTGAAAACATGGCGGATTTGCCTTGATACTGAATTCTGCCAGTTAAAAATGGCTATAGCTCACTAACGAACTCGGGCACCTCAAATTTTTTTCCAGTCATTTTAATCAACTAATCATAAGCTTTGCGTGAGAAAAGACTGATCTGATTTCTATTGGTGAAAGTTGAATGAATAGGGAAAATAGCAGCTGCACTGTAGTCTTTTCTATTTTGCAGTTTGATAGGAGTGGCAAGCAATTTGGCTCCAATATTTTAACAAGGATTCAGCTGTCTGTCAAAATCAAGCTTAAAAAGTTTATTTGTGTCCGACACAAATATTGACTGTAGTTTGAGGCGTGTTTTCTTGAGTCTGGGCTCACAAAGAGTTTACAATAACTTGGAATGCGTTCTTGTAATAAGCATTAAATAAAGCTAAAATGGGATATTTTCAATGCCTCACTGCTCCTTAACAAGCATGGACAACCCCCTTTTTTATTTTATAATTAAAGTTCTCATATGATAAATATTCAGTGGACAAAGTTTGAACAAAAATCTATTGACAGTTTTATTTCAGGGGAATTACCTTAAGTTGTTCTTTGAATCTATAACTAATCATCTTTATCTATCCTAGTTGCTTGAGTTTGCAGTACCGTTTGTCCGTTGCGATATATTTTTATTTTGTTATCCTCACTTATAAAGTCGCCTTTTTCTTCTTTAGAAAATACATCGTACAGTTGTATCATTACAATCGTCCGTTTAAATTTCCTACTAAAGTAGGACTGATTGTCCAGACAGCCTTAAAAAATTAAAACATTCACAGCCAAAGGAAAAAAAAATGCAGTCAAGTGTTTTATTTACACTGATAATTTATTCTCATATGTAAATTCTGAACTTAAATCGCTGACCGTCGAACAAATGGAAGGTGCAAGAATACGGAAATAAAAGAAGATCTGACATTACATGGAAGTCGGGACTTTTCCATTGCATGCTTTTTTAACTTCACTTAACAAAAAAAGACCACAATATAGATGAATCGTAAACGAATCAGACTCTGATGTCGGTGAGAATGAAATCATTTGACTGACAACATGTTAGAAAAAATGCTCAGTGGCAATTTAAATAAATATTCACAGCAAAATCAGGAATCATTTTCACATAGTGTAATTTGTAGTGTGATGTTCCCGACGGGATGACCGTGATGACGACAAGGCCAAGGGAAATTATTGAATTAAATAGTTGCGCAAAAATAACAGAAATTTGTTGGATTTTTTTTTTATCATTTTCTAACTAGTCGGAACGGGTTTCTGATATCCAGCAACCTCTTCAGAAATGAATACTTTGCGTTCCTTCAGATTTGATTTCGATTTTTTCCTTTAAGTTTGTATCATGGCATTGTCATTGGTGATTAATTGCTGTACAATTACGACACAAGCAAGATATAGCTTCAATTAATGTTGCAGGGGAAAGTTATCCACAAGACAAATAGGTGTGACAAACACTTAAACAAAACAACTTTAAAGAGATCGTTGTAAGTCGGCTGTCATCTTAGTTTGAGAGATGAGAAGGGAAACAATTTCGGTTTCCTTCCTGCCGGTGACGTTTCCTGGGGTAATATCGATGGCATTCTGGCTTAACGACCGCAAGCAGAATTTGTTTTCGCTTTTTTTTTGTAGAAGCCTTATTTTTAGCATAATTTGACATTTGGCAATATCAAGAAAGATTGGGGCAATCAAGTGATTTTCCACAGCACTCTGATCGAGAACCTCTTATTGTTGCCTATAAGGAATGCTCTTTTTTGGTTAACAATTGATAACATCCACTCACACATTTTAAACAGTAGTAATTTACACACCTGTATTACACCATAACGTTTGTTCATGCATTGTGCAAACAGAAAAATCGTCGACAACATAACTGACATTACGTCACTGAAGATGGAGGAACTCGGCGCAAACCAAAACGACAACGTCACTGCAAGCAGTAGCATGACACAGTTCTCTGCTACCAGGATCATCCAAATCATGCTGTATTTTATTCTATCTTTCGTTGGAATAGCAGCTAACAGCATGATTTTTCACACGCTGCTGAGCCGTAACAATCCGAGGGTCGGTGAATACCTCATTCTCAACTTGGCACTCACGGACCTGGCCACGTGCGCTGTGAGTGTTCCATTTGACTTGGCGGAACGTCTTGCAGGGGGATTTCCATTTGGGTCAATCATGTGTTACGTTGTGTATCCCTTACAGACAGTCCTCATGGCCGTATCGGTCATCACGCTGCTCTCCATGAGTTTGGAACGCCGCCGTGTTGTAATGGAACCGTTTGCACGCCCAAGAGTTCTTCCAAAGACGACCAAGATCGCCATCTTGGTCTCGTGGATCGCCCCTATCCTGGTCATCATCCCGTACGCACTTGTACTGAGACTTGATGGGAAAAATTGCCTGGAAAAATGGTCGGAGTCTTGGCACGTCAAAGTTTTCACTCTTACCAATTTTACCGTGTTCTTCGTCATACCGATTGCGGTGATCACCACGTCTTATATCATGGCTGGCAGAAAAGTGCGAAAGGAGCTTCAAAACCTCGACGACATGTTAGAGGGAAAAGACAGATCGCACAGGGAATACCTCAAGAAGCGCACAGTGCAAAAGCTTAGAATTACCAAGGTTTTTATCACGGCTGTCGCGGCTTTTATTGTTTGCATGCTACCGACGCACTTAGTTTGGATCTGGCACGATTTTGCCCAAGGAGATGAGAAAGCGTACTTCAAAGACATCGTGATCTTCAGTAACATTTTAATGTATTTAAACAGTGCATTGAATCCGTTCATCTTCAGGAGTGTGAGAGGGAAATCTTTCACTCGGTTGATAGCATGCTGTTGTAAGAAGTTTACCAAGAACTCCGCCTCTACCGCGGGATTATTATTTCTTCCTCAAGTTGAGCGAGAGAGGGCTATCAGGGTCACCAAGTCTTTCTCCCGAACCTCTGATGTCACATTTCCGACAGCTGACGTCTGTTACGAAACGAGCGTCTAAATAAAATAAATAAATAAATAAATATATAAATAAATAAATAAATAAATAAATAAATAACTTTATTGTTTAAGAGATATTATTATTGTACATGTGCCTTTTATGAACTGCAACCCGTAACAAAAACTCTCAGGTGTATCGTAATTTTACAAAACGTGGCCTGAATTAATCTAGCTTGGGGCAGGCTCACCTTTGAGTCACACGCGCGAGTCCGCGAGCAAAGAAATCCAACGAGGAGGGATCTGGTGAAGAAGTTTATTGAATTAATCTAGATCATTCTAAACTTCATGTTAACGCAGCTCCTAATTTCTGTTAAAATAATTAATTAGATATATTTACTTTTTCATTTCGCACATTGTTGTATTTAAAATAACGAGAGTGACGCTTTCAGTTTTGGACCTAAACTACTGAGGTAGAAAGCGACATTCTTTGTGTATCCGGGCAGTCTTAAGGTTCTCCATTCAAAAGCACTAAGTGGAGCCAAAAGATTATGATCCTGCTGGAGCATGATAGTACACATGCCCTTAACAAATACAGAGGTGACCCGGCTAATCGAAGTGAAAACACGCAAATTTGTGAGAACCACTGTCCCCCCACCCAAAAACCGTATTCGATCGTGTCAGTGAAGAAGATCTAATCAGCTGTGACTGATAATGAATGAACCAAGGAAAAACGCAAGGCTGATCAAACGGTTTACGAACCATATTACATTAGTTCCATTACTTCAAAAGGTATGGCTTTTCTTCTTCTACAGAGTCCTACAAAGAAGAAATGAAAGCCACTGCCTTTCAGTATTAGAATTGATATTATAGTTTTCCTTTTTATTCGCTAAAGAAAGCGCTTGTTTCCATTAGACATAAAACAGTAGGAAGGACCAATGTAAGGGGCGCACCGCTTACAAGGTTCTTTATCATTGGCCAAACGAAACAATAGATACAGAACACAAACAATTTCCCCAGCCCTTAGAACAAAAGAAGTGCAGATAAACAAGAACGAAACAAAATAGAGGTTCGCAAGAAATGACTTCGCTCCAAGACAAAATTAAATCGCATAATTTCCAATATACTCCCTGGGAAAATAATTTACATTTTGAGCATTTTATGAGTGTAAATTTTAGACCGTAAATACACCTATAAAATACGTATTGTAAAAATTAGTTAACCAAAAATCAAGGAAAATTATGGATGCGAAGTCGTACATTTTTCGTGGTTTGCGATTTTTACTCAAACTGAAATCTTGATGGCAGCGTTCAAAACTCGATATTACGATAGAAGCAGCACATTTAATGAATCGCATATTATTTCCGAAGTAAAATCTAGTCTAATTTTGGGAAGAGCTATCTTATAACTCAAGTGCGCACTACGGAAGCCGACCTCAGGTTGTCCAACACAACGGTAAATACCAGGCTTTGCTAGCCAATCAAGGCGCAAGTTTTCTTCATACATATTTGTTTTTGGCATCTGTGTGGACTACTTCATCAAAAGTTCTGTTTTGCAAAGAAAAGTGGCCATTGTCAACACCGGCAATCTATCTCACGGAATTAAGTCATTTTGTCACATAAGAATGGCATCTGTTTACCGGAAGAAAAAAACTAGATGACATTGGGATATTTTGCTGTTTAAAAATTTAATTAAACCGGTTCGAAAGGTAAAGCTTCATCTTCAAATAGAAGTAATGTCAAACGTAGACCCTGACAGAAAGAGATTTTAAACTGCCCGACTAAAATATCTTGTTGCCGCTCAATCAACAAAACGCTTCTTACTCTGAGGGCCAGGAATGGAAAATGGGGCGGCGAAGCTTTCATCGATCAACCAACAAAGGTGAGTCACTAGCCTTTTCAGTTAATCTGTTGGTAAAAAATACGACAAGCTTGGAAGGGAAGCTATCTCATGACTCTGCATTTATTTATTTTTATGTTTTCTTCTTGATGAAGAATCGATCTTTTTAATACACGAACCACGTTGCTAAGTGCGTTTTCGAATTCTGTTAAAACGGAGTATTCTATATTATGCTCCTGTACCTGGCTTTGAATAAAAAAAAAAAAACAAGAAAACGAGAAATGGAAACGGATAAAAAAATAATGTACGTGTTCAGCTAGTGAATCAGGTGGCTTTTCAAAGATAGCATGGATTGTTGATCATTTTTAATGCAAAACCTTATTCGACAGCATTATGTTGCCAGCCATATTCTCGGACTATTTCCTGACCAGAAAACAATTTTTACGACCATCAAAAGACCATTCAATCAAAAGTAGCCAATTAACGTTAAATAAGGGTTAATACCGTGATTAAACTGGATTAAGCATAAGACAGGCCAGATAACCTACGAAACCGGTGGAAATGTCTGCGTTTAAAGCAACAAAACGGAGAGCCATTTCTGTGTTTACCTGACATTTTTCTGTTTTCATTTCACTTGTCCCATTAGCTTCTAACTGAGAGCAAATATACTCACCTTTTCTTTTTCCAATTTGTTCAAACGTGTGATAGCTACGAAGTTTCTGCTTTTAGGCAAAAACGTTTTGCAGGCGTTTTAATTGAAAGATCCAACAAGAAACAAAATAAGTATTTTTATTGCAACTGAACTTTAGAATGCATGAAAAAAAAAATTCATTAAAAATTTAGTATTTTTTGGACATATTAATCTCAGAGATATAAGTTTATACCTGGCTTCAGTAATGTTGTGAAGTGTTATAAATCTTGTGTTCAAAGTTGGCATAATCCTATTGTGGAAGGGAAAGTAACAGGAATTCTAATAGTGTGTCATTTCACTTTCTGTTTCGAGTCAATGTTGATACTAGTGTACTGTACAACTACTACTAATTCTGCAAAGACGAAAACACTTGTATAGCCGTCAAACTATTGAAAACATGATTTCCGTTCGCAAACTTCCATCAATACTCAATGCTAATAATAGTAATTATAATATTTAATTCCATTTTCCTAAAGGATGTGTACTGAATTAACAATTGGCGGTTACGACGTTAAAACAGTGGTCTATTCGTGAAGGTAGGTGGAACGATGTTGAAAGTAGAATCGGCCACTGATTTTTACTTTGAACAGCTGTATGCTTTGGACAGCTTTAGATTGTGAATAAAAGGGTGCGTTTGTTTGGGATTATCCGGATGAAGATCAATGATCCAAGATCACAGTCAGATCATGGTACATCAAAGAAGCCGATAAATCCTTGTCCGGAGTGTATTCATCAAGCGATGAATTCTTGTCCAGAGTGGATTCATCAACCGATGAATTCCTGTCCAGAGTGATTCATCAACCCTGAATTCTTGTCCAGAGTGGATTCATTAACCGATGAATTCTTGTCCAGAGTGAATTCATCAACCCTGAATTCTTGTCCAGAGTGGATTCATCAAGTGATGAATTCTTGTCCAGAGTGGATTCAATAACCGATGAGTCCTTGTCCAGAGTGGATTCATCAACCCTGAATTCTTGTCCAGTGTGGATTCATCAAACGATGAATTCTTGTCCAGAGTGGATTCATCAACCTATGAATCCTTGTTCAGAGTAGATTCATCAACCGACGAATCCTTGCTCAGAGTGGATTCATCAAGCCCATGAATCCTTGCCCAGAATGGATTCATTGGTTTCTTCAACGTGGTAAACAATAGGCTGCGAAATGGGCTTTGGAAACATTTGGGCTAGCAAGTGGGACTTCGACCGCCCCTTTCATGGTCTATCAGGACTCTCATATTTAACAGGCTTGCCGCCCATCTTCTCTGGACTGGTTTCACTGAAAACACTTTTAACTGAAGATAAAACTGACGCTGCTAAGACTAAAGAAAAAGGGTAATAAAACACAATTGCCATTCGCAAACTGCTATTATCACTCTATATTCAAAGTCGTTAATGCACTTTTGGAAAGCTGTGTGCATATGTTTTTTCCAAATCACGGAACAACTTAAATTGCCAGGATTGTTTTTACAGCAGAGTTTAAACCATTCCACTGGCAGAATATGAAATAGTATCAGCAGGAAAGCAATTGTTTAATGTCTGTTGTTGACGCAATTGCGGCTTGGTGGAGAAAATTCAAATCTGCATGATATCGTTCCAGTTATAAAGGTAAACTCTTTTCTTTTCATGTTTCTAACCTTAGTTTTAAGTCCAAGCTATAAATTCAAAGTTATAGTTTAAGAGCAGCATACGTCATCAAATATATTTACATTGATTCTGAATCCCATTCTGAAGTATGAGTGTTGAGAGAAATTCGAGGGTCTTCGAGTATGTCTTCTTACGATAAACTTGTTTTCAAAAACAAGATATGCCTGCTGTTTCCATAAATACATAAAGATTTCCAGAAACGGAACGACAATTTTAAATTTTACAAACACAATTCAGCAGCTAGAAACTTCTACCTTCTTTAGTGCGAATATTACAGAAGATGCAAATTGTAATTTATCCCTACAAAGATGACTTAGCTTGTACAAGTCGCAAAAAAGGGGAATAAGTTTGAATAGTTGTATTCAATCCTGTGACGTGTGTGCTACGTATCAAAGACTGTGAGATAAAATCTACAGTAGAATGCCCATTTCTTAAACTGCCAAGGGAAACAAAGCTTGGTTGAGAATTCTAGAGGTCCAGATGTCGGGAGTAAATAACAGTGAAGCAAATTCGAGGAAACCGCTTTTGGTTCGAGTTATCGGAGGTTCTAGAAATCAGCACTTTACTGATATATCACCAAAACGAAGTTTTGATATTTTAATGAGCAACATCTTGTCAGGCAAAATATAAGTTTCGAATTTCATGCCACAATATGTAAATCGCATTGTGTTTGCTTGCCGAAAGAAAACTGTCATCGGATTTCAGCGTCCTGTGATTCACTCGTTGCAGTATCTCTAAAAGGTTTATATCTGTTAAATCACCAACAATAAAACTATGTAAGACCTTTCTAGATTTAGACTTCAGGGGTTCATTTAGTTTTTCTATTTGCATATTTATTGGTTCTCTAATAACTAGCCATGTCTGACTATCCGCTGACTGACTGATAACCGGCTGAGTCTCCTTGATAACAAGCTAAGGAGGCCTGCAACCGGTACTTGCAAGCATGCATTCAACTAGATCGTCAACTGATTATCACAGTTTTTTCGACCCGAAGAGTATTTAAAAGGCAGCTCTTTTTTTCAGACCTCTGCAAAGGTATGGTTAATGTTATTCGTGCTCAGTGTGTCTGTAAGTGCAAAGATTATTTTTATGATGAAATCGACTTACATTTTTTCGTCGAAAACAAAGCTATATCTGCTTATAAATGATCACAACAAAATGTCTTCTACATAGGTTTTAAACTCAACACAGTTAGATTATAAAGTTAAGAAAAAAAATGAGCAGTAACCGCAAATGAAGATGTAAAAATTGTTTGAGTTTTCTTTAAAGGGTGTGGATCTGCTTTGACATTTTGAAGCTTTTCATTTTTCAAAGCAAACACGTAATCACTGATTAAACGAGAGGCAGATAATCTGACAGGCACTGAAATGAAAATATAAGTACACTGTAGGCTCGCGTTACACGGTGTATAGTTAAATTTAAATTTACATGGAAATTACTTTCCACGAAATTTCTTTTTGAGAACTCCCGCGTTTAACCCTGAACATGCTTAAAGGAGTGAAATTATGAACTCATGTGTCGTGGACACATGTAAATGGTCCTCAATTTCCCAAACGCCGCATGGGACTCTGTTTCATTTCCTCGGTAAGTCTGCAAGTCGTTGGTGGTTATGTAAACATTAATTCTGTAGCTGTTTGCATCGTTTCAGGAACATATCAACCGCTTTGTTTCGTTAGACCTTCAGGTACTGGAGAAGCTAGTCACTTGAAAATTTTACCGAAAAAATAACCATTGCGCTCCAAAATGTACGGTTCTTGTAGCGTACCCTTCCGTTTTTTAACTGGCCCCATTTTCAGTCGCAAAATGATTTTGAGGGGACGTGCGAAGCTGATGAAACACTTCACAGCCTTTATTGATTACCACCAAGAAATGAAATTGAGAGACATATCGTGCGAAGCCTTAACTAGCCAACTCAGTGTATTATGTTTAAATAATTAACAACTCTTAGCGTCAAAGATATATTTAGCAACTCAATGAACTAGAGTTAGGCTTTACTTCGCCTTCAGGTTCTCGCCTGCTGAAACCTTTTTTGTCCAGCGGAACAGTTTACATA